GATTCGAACCAGAGATCATGTGGCATTGCCTCAGCAACAGTTACTGGGTCAGGATGGGTATGTAGCCAAAGCTGGAGTGAGATATGACATCCTCCCTCTCTCCCCTGATAAAACAAGTGAACAAGGTCTTCTACTGCAAGAAGTTGCTGCACAGAGACGTTCAGATAGAGCCCTGATCATACCATACCTGAAGCCCACAGCATCTCTTGACTCCCTATTACAAGAGATAGGGTGTCTTCTAATTGTTCAATCAGTTTGCCTCAGGGTCAAGCTAGAGGACTCTCCACGGAAGAAATGTTCTCCTCTATGTAAGTGGGCACGTTCTGTGCAAAAAGCACTGTTCTTCGCATTGTTCCGAGCCTACAGAGCCCCCTTTAAGGGGTTGGGGAAGGGCTGACAACTACAAGGCTAGGTGAGTTTAACAAAAAGATCTACACTAAGGATTATGCTTTCTTCTCACCAAGGGGACGAGTCCATTGAAGATGGGATGATGACAGAGCTGTGGCTTCAATGGGAAGGGACATGAGACACTAATTGACCCCATTCCACCAGAAACCTAAGTCCGCTCTGAGAAGCAGCATGGCTCTGAGAGGCCACATGGCTTGGTAGGAAGAATCATTCAGAATCCGGACTCTGATCTGGGTGTGGACCCTCATTACCCCACACCCTCGTTGTGTACCTTTGGACAGGCCATTCATTCTGTCTGACTTACCATTTATTGAATGTCTTTGAGTGCCTCTGTGTGCTGTTCTACGTGCTTTCTGTGGATTAGCCCACTTATCTTCCTGCCCACAAAGTGGGTATGTTTAACTAAGAGGGAAATGGGCTCAGAGAAAAGAATAACTCACCCAGAATCACAGAGTAGCAAGCAGTGATGCTGGGATTTGAGCCCAGACAGTGGGACACCAGGGACATATGGTCAGTTCCAACCACCATATTTACTCCCTCCAAGCTTCGGGGAAGCAGGAGCGGCTGGTTCCATCCAGCACGGAAGCTGAGGTCAAGTGCCAGGGAAGCTTTAATACTCAGCTCTTCCATTCTTTTATTTTAACGCACTTCTATAGACACTCCCAATGCTATGAAAATTTGCCCTCAGCTTTCTGTTTTGTAGCATGAAACAATCTATCTGCTAATGATCTAAGTCAGGAATGGGAGGGACACAGAAAGTTGAGCTTCCCTGCAGTTACACTTCCCCTTTTCCATTAACACCTTTAAGTAAGACCTGCATGCCCTCAGCAACAGAGAACTTGCCCTTGGAGCCCCCTGGTGAGGCTGGGAGACCAAGCTCTCTCTTTAGAGACTCTGGGTTCCCATGCGTCTCATGTGCCTGGTCAGTCCCAAGCACCATTCTGTTCTCTGGCTCTGGAGCTGACCACAGCCCCCTAGCCCCATGCCGTAGACCGGCAAACTGAGTCCCACACCTGCCAGTGAAGCCCCAGCCAGGTCAGCATCTCCAACTGGAAAACAAGACCTAGAGATGCTGGGCCCGCCCTCACCAGCTTCCGGCCAGTCATTTGATCTGGGTCCCATGTTTTCATCAAATAAATGGAATGGATGATAGAAGTCTGCCCTCCTCACACTGTGTAAGGAGGACTGTATGTGTGAAAGCACTTTGTAGACCACAAAGTGTTCTATGGATATGATGCTTGCCTGTCTAGTAGGAAGTAATATGGCCATTTCAAATTCCTTCTCCTCATTTTCCTGCATCTTGAAAAAAAGGGCAACAGAAAGTTGCCACCAGATCTGTGTAAGACCGCAGAATCACAGTGGTAAAGGTACGGGCCCTGGGGTCCCATGGCGTCAGGCCTCTGACACTCACCAGATGAGCGATGTTGGGACATCCCTGAGGCTCCAGTGCTCAGCTGCCTGGTGTGAAAAAGGAGCTGGTTGATGCCCATGTCGTGCTCGTGAGGACCCATTTTGGATTTAACGTGCTCTTTGAACATCTGTTTTGCCTGAGCGTCACCCGTCACTACCCCTTATTCTAGAAGCAACACCTTGGTTCCCCTCCGGGGTGCATCCTTACAGCACGCGTGCAGTCTTAGCGGGGTCGCCGTCCAGCACCCTGGGCCTCCTTTGCTGATGGTGCACCCCAGACCCAGTCGGGCTGTAGCCTCGCTGCTGGGAACCCGAAACCTGCGTGGTAAGAAGACAGGAGACATCGGAGCCGAAGAGGCTGACGTTCGGCTCCATGGCCGACAGACCTAGAGCTGAAGGCCTGGTTCATCTGCTTTTCCTCTCGTTCTGTGAGCTCCCCTGGAGCCTTCCAGCACCGCCATTTTTGCCTGTTGGCCGGAGTGGGTTTCTGTTGCCGGCCTCCTGAGCACCCTACCTTGATCTGAACGCTTCGCACAAGAGCTTAGCAGGTGCATACTACACGCGTAACAGATGGTAACAGATGGTAGCCCCAGGTTCGGCAGACTGTCACACACTCCTGGGACACACACGTTCCACCCCGGCACCGCCCACCCTCACCTTTCTTCCCTCCTTCATATGAATGCTGCCCTTTTTTATTCCCCTTCTACATGTTATTCATGCCTCCTCAAAGACAAGGCCCAAGGCCCAGAACTTAACCTACTATGGGCGTCGTGAGTGCGGCTCACGAATATTTCTAGTTCTCTGCCTTCCAGCACACGGTAGGGTTGCACTTTCTGGTCTCTTATGGTTGGATGAGGCCTAGTTCTGGGACGTGAGCAGTGAGTGGGAATGACGTATGTCATTTGACTGCCAGTCAATGACCCCCAGGGTTTTAATGCCCCTGGGATGCTGACCAACTATATTCGAGACAGCAGTTCCTATAGTAGCCTGGGTGCCCTTGCCAACCTACATTGGGTGTGGAGCATGAGAAAGAAATAGACCTTCGTTGTTAAAAGCTGCCGGGATTTAGGGATTCTTTGTTACTGTAGCAAAACCTAGCCTAACCTGACTAATACATACACCCACTTTCCTTTTCAGCACCTTGCCTGTGGGAAGCACTTGATAAGTATTTATCAAATGGCTTATTTTCCTCCTTAAGTCTAGAACCACTATATTGTCATTCTTATATCATTTTTGGCCTTGTTCAGTGGCATCGAATTGGATAAGACAGGAAGAAGAGAAAGAAAGCCCAGTCCTATGGCTTTGCTTCTTACTTTGAGCCACGAGGATGTAGGGCACACATCAGGAATCACTGCAGGGGAGTCATGAAGATGACAGGGTTCTCAGGTATGGATATTCACCCTGTCATTCTAGTGGGAACTCATTTAGCCAACATGTGCCGACCTGGAACTCTGTGTTGGGTGCTGTGCTAAGCGTAGGCAGGTGGGGGAAGATGTGAGTGGGAAACGCAACAATCTCAGCTCAGCACTGTTATGGGCATAAGCCAGATGGTCCAGGAGTCGAGAGTAGGAATGACTCACCCCAGTTTTGGAGATTCAGGTGACATTTGAGTCAAGTCCTTAAAGAGAGCACGGTTTACCTGGGCCAAAAACAGCTTGGGAGTAAAGCTAAGGGGACAAGCGTGTTGGGGAGATTTCTTGGTTTCCAGCTCCGCAGGTGCATTAGATAGTGAACCCCGTGGAACCATGGCATTCAGAAAATATGTGTGCGCTGGGCAGGTCATGTCTTCCAGCACTTTCTTGTTGAGGGATGGCGATATGGGCAGCTGAGGAAGCAAGTTTTCATCAAGTATTTAGAAAAGAGCAGGACTTAATCTAACATACCAGAAGGAATGGGAACAACTAAAGCCAGATTTTCCCGGTGGTGCTTGGAGGAAGGAGCCAAGAGAGTGTCAGACTGGGGCTTGGGGGTGAGGAGTACGTGAGATGGGGAAGCTCGGCATTGCCACGGTTTCAGATCTCAGGCAGAGTTGAGCCATGTGGCCTCATCACATCAGAATTGCTGTTTTAACATAGTGCTTCAACAGACTGACAGATCGTAGGAGTGAAGGTTTTGTGTCCAAAGGGGAAGCCCCTCTAATTTGGGCAGATATGGGAATACCCCCACAGTCCATCCATTTACTTGAAAGAACATATACCTTCTTCTCATCTTGTGCACGCGGTTACATTGACTTCTTGAGTTTGTGTGGCTCTGTTGAGACACAGGTTGTGTACTTTCCAGCTGGACTTGAACCTGAGAGGATATAGGCTGCTGTGGCTGCAGACATCTTGTGACCATGAGGGGAGAGTTTATCTGAGAATGGAACCACCCTAGAGGGAGGAGAGACTAGAGATAGAGACAGAGAGAGAGAGAGAGAGAGAGAGAGAGGCTGAGACTCTAGGGCCTGTCAGTGCCATTGAGTCTCTAGATCAAGCTGTACCCGAGGCTGGTACTCCGCTGGACTTTGCAGTTCTGTGAACTAAGTTTGAGCTAAAATTTTCTATCTTTGGCAAGAGTTCTAGCTGATACAAACACAGTGATGGAGGGAGAGAGGCTCGTGATATCTGTCACTTATTAAGTGTTTACTACACTCTGTCAGGGAGGTTTGGTGTTTTCTCTGTAGTTGATCGAGGCCACCTTTGCCCGCAGGCTCTTGTATGTGAGCTCCACCAGTGGGACTGTGGACGTTCAGTCTGGGAGGAAAACCCACAAGATGTTTTCACATCCATTGTCTTCCTACATTTAGAAGCTGCTGCTGATTTTCCATAGTGCAGCACAGTGATACGGGATTAATTTGGTAATTAAATGTTTGCTGCCGGGAATGAATAAATTGTCCTTCGTGGCTAGATTTTTTTCGTCTCACTTTGAATTTGGAGAAGCAAGACGCCTGCCTGTTGCGGCACTCGCTTCTGCTTTGCAACTGCGTATAATATATGCTGACAGTGTTTCCCCACTTGTATTCTCTGGGAAGATGTTATTTACTGTCCCTGATGGTAGAGGAAGAAAAATTAGGTCATCGCCTCACACACATCTTTCTTAAACCATCCCAAGCACGTGCTTCATTAGGCAGAGACGCATTTTCGGGAGAGGCGTTTTTTCCTCTGACTTTTTTCCTGACTTTTTTTTTTTTTTTTCTGTTCTAGACCAACTTTTCTCCAAGACTGCTGTGTTCTCAAATGTTTGCAGATAGCGTTCTGAAATGATGTCGGATATGTTCCTTGTTCTGTTATGAAGTACGCGACCCGCAGCCTTGGGTTCAGCTATGACATCATCAAATTTTAGAAAGTCCTCAAGTCATTTAACCTCTGACGCGTTGACTCTTGGCACCTCTTCTGTTTCTTGCCTTTGGAGGCCATCTCCAAGCTGTCCCCATGGCCTGCCCCCTCCCACCTAGGACCCTCTCCAGCATGCCCAGGGTTTTTGCCCTCCACCTGCCACACAGCACGGACGGCCGGGCTTGTGCGTGTGAACTCTTTTGAAATCTGCCGCGTCGTATACTGGTGTTTCATGGGTGACGCTTTATCAAGAGTCACTGGTCTACCTCCTTACTACCAAGTTATATCAATGTAGCGTTAAACTTTTTGTTTTCGGTTTGGGGGAAATCATTTGCAATAATTTGCTTTTTCTAAACAAACACATAGGACATCGGAATGTGTTTTTTGACTCTCAGTGTACCCTAAAATAGAGTAGAACTTTCATCCTCTCTGAAAAAAAAAATCATGGTGCATGAAGATCAGCCAGTGCATATGATCAGTCCTTATCATATGCAACCTGTATTCTCAAAATATTTTACTCAGGGCGGGGGACACTGAATGAGCACATATATGTAGATTTTTGAGTCCAGCAAATAGGGGTCAGATCCAAGGGCCTTGCTTAGGAACTGCGGGACTTTGGGCAAAATACTCCATATCCTGAGCCTCAGTTTCTCTCCTCCATAAAATGAGGAAAATAGTAACTCTGTGAAAGGGATGAAGAATAATTTAAGTATCTGAGACAGAAGAGGTACTCATCAAGTGATAGCTGCTTTAATTATTGTCCTCCCTTGTGACTTCTTCCCCTACGCGAGGTTCCCAAAGGAACCTGAATATTGGCGTTAAGCTTAAGATGGGGAAGCAGGGGTAAAAGGTAACATGATGTCCAGGTACGCTTTGCGTTAAGCAATACTTTATGAAAATTAAGAATCAAAAGCAAAAACATAGTGAAAGGAGAGTGAAAGCAGTCATTTGCTTTCAGAAAGATTCTCCGTGAAGCTGTAAACTTCCCTGATTTATTTAAAATGTGAGTTCAGGGGCGCCTGGGTGGCGCAGTCGGTTAGGTGTCCGACTTCAGCCAGGTCACGATCTCGCGGTCCGTGAGTTCGAGCCCCGCGTCGGGCTCTGGGCTGATGGCTCGGAGCCTGGAGCCTGTTTCCGATTCTGTGTCTCCCTCTCTCTCTGCCCCTCCCCCGTTCATGCTCTGTCTCTCTCTGTCCCAAAAATAAATAAAAAACATGGAAAAAAAAATAAAATAAAATAAAATGTGAGTTCATTTTCGTGCCACTTCTGGGAATGTATTCTAGACATCTGGGGTCTGTTCTCCAGGACAGACCTGGGCCCAGAAGAGACTGGGGTCCTGTTGAACAAGCAGATTTAAGGTAGAAGTCAGGGCACCACTGGCTCATGGGAGGAGACAGAAGAACCGAAGTGATCTGGAGGGGCCGCAGCCTTGGAAAGCAGGGGCATCTCTGTGGGAGACCCCTTAGGAGGAGAGTCTGTAGTGGGGCAGGAGATGGAAAGGAGGGGACACGAGAGAGGGGGCCTTGTGGCTATATGAGAAAGGCCACACACAAATGGTTAAAATATTGCTTACTTCTATTATACCATGAAAAAAAACGGCAGTGACCAGAGCTGCCTGGATTAGGAAGAAAGGGTGTAATTCCATCTCGGGGCTTCTGGTGAGTTGAGCTTGTGGTTCTGTGGTTTATGATGTCACCAGAGCCCCTGGCTGGAGCCACAGCCTTTTAATTTACAACTTGGTAAATGGGGAGGCCGAGGGTCCATCATGCCTGCTGGAAATGTGGTGAGGACCCAAGGGTCGAGGTTGGCCTGGGAGGTCAAGTTCCAGAGGCCGGCCCCTCCTTCCCTTAGTGGGGAGTCTTGGTTAAGCTACTTTTCTTGCTCTGTCCTCTGTTTCTTCTCTCCCTTTCTCCCCATCCCTCCCTCCTCATTTCCCCAAGTTGCACAGCTTCATTTTCCCATGATTTATTTTATAAAAAGCCCAAGTTAGCCAGATTCCTCTGGCCTTCCTGCTCATTAAACTCACAGTTCAAACCTTTCTATCCGAAAGCCCACCCCAGAAAGGCTCAAATGTGACATCTCTGACTTTTGAAGGAAGAACCCTACTGTGAATTGGGTGGCTCCCTTCTGTCTTCTGTTCTGCCTCCAGCCTCCCACGTACTCATGCATGTCAAGGTCAGGAAGTGATGGTTTAGCCTCAGCAGATGCCTGTGGCCTCCTCAAGCATGGCGGCATGTTGGTCCCTGAGTGCCTTTGGTTATCCTAGTTCCTCAGCCTCCCTTTATCCTTCAGCCCATAACAGAAGCTTACTGGATATTTATTATTGGCAGGATATGCTAGGGTGAGATCTGGGGACATAGCAGAAGACAAGATAGAGATGATTGCTATTCTCATGAAGCTCCACCTGCCTGCCTGACACCTGCCATTTTGGGGTCACAGAGATCTCAGAGTTAGCATGTCTCAGCCCTTGTCTCCAGATCTGCTCCTCCCCGAGGGCTCCCTATTCAGTTTCTGCCACTATCATTGCCTACTCAAGCCATTCACCTAGGAGTGTCCTGCCCAATTTCTCTTTTTCCCTCATCCCCAACCCCCAGTCCGTGAGCTGGTCTGGCCCATGCCCTCTCTCAGAACTGGTCTGGACCACTTCTCTCCACCTCACTGACATCGTTTGATTCTACCAGCTCTTAACAATTGCAACAGCATCCTGGTGGCACTTCCCACTTTTTTAAAAATTGTTTTTTCTCACCCAGGAGTTCTCCAAGTGGGGTCCCCCCACCAAGGAAGTGTTGGAAATGCATATTCATGGGCCTCCCCCAGACCTATTGCGTCAGAATCTCCAGGGGTGGGGCCCAGCAATCTTGAGTTTGACAAACACCCCAGGTTATTTTGATACAAGCTCACGTTTCAGAGTGTCCTCAGTCCACTTGTCAACCAGGCGAGGCACTTGGAACTTTTTAATGCATTCTCGTATTTACTTTCATTTTACAGGTGAAGGGACTGAGGCCTGATCTTGGAGGGTACATTGAGCTGTAGCACGTCCAGCTGAGGACCCTGGCTGAGCTTCCCATTATCCTTTCCCACGGCCTGTAAGATGCTATCCCATCTGGCCCCAGTCTCTCTCCCCAGCCTTCCCTTGAGCAACACTGTTGCTTGGACTCGCTCGTTTTAAGACATTCTAATCTTTTAGTTTCAGGGACACACAGTTCCCTTTCCAGCCTCAGGGCCTTTTCACACACTGTTCCCTCTGCCCGGATCACTCACTGTCCCGTTAGTTTACATGGATAGCACCTTCACTTCATCATTCAGTCCCAGCAAAAATGTCACCTCCTCAGAAAGATTGCCCCTGACTGTCTTAAAATAGGTTTCCCTGCTATTCTCCATTTTAATTCCTGACATGTCTCCACACGGCACACACAATTAGTAATAACTTGATTCATTCATGTATTTTTACGTCTCCTCCCCTGGGAAGTGAGCTCCTTGGGGACAGGAGCTGTGTCTATTCACCACAAATTCCTAGTACCTAGCCCCAGAAATACAGCATGGAACAAATGAGTGAGTGAACGAATGAGCGAACAAAATAGTCTATTTTGTTTTGTCAACAGAGTCCTTACTTGTCTTTAAGGTCTCAGCCCAAATATTGCCCTCTCCAAGGAGCCTTCCCTTGTTCCCCTGGCGGAGTGGTGGGGGGGCGGGGGGGGGGCGGGCAGTGGGAAGGCAAGAGTGTGGGCTCTGAGACACGGAGACCTGAGTCTATGAAACAGCTTGTGTCACTTCCTGGCCGCTTGCCATTTTGTCTGTCTGAGCTCTCTCACGGGCAAGATGGAGAGTTTCTTGTGAGGATGGAGATAATGTGCCCAACGCAGAGCAGGCCCTTAAGGAGGAGTGGCTGCTCCTGTTCTAGAACTAGTTACTCACATAACTCCCTCACTCGACAGACAATGAGAGAGGGAGCTCCCAGAGCACTGGCCTCTGTCTCGTTACCCATGCTGGTTGAGGGTGGAGGCAGAGTGAGTCCTCTGCCCACCCCTCCCCGTGCACACCCAGGGCATGGTTTTGGTGGCCAGCCGGCCAGAGGACAGTGAGAGGGCTGTCTGTGTCTGTGGGTGAGCCCGGTCTATGACTCACAGGGAAAGGGAACACAACTGGCTTGAAAAGCAAGCTAGACCTATTTACTGATGCTCCCCTCCAACGAACATCCCAAATAGATGAGCCAAAAACGCAAAGAAAACCATGGGATCGTTGCTTGAGCCGAGTCTCCCGTTTGCCACAAGATGCCACCGAGTTGTTTCGCAACACTGCTTGGAAAGGCCCAGCGGGTTTCTTTTCCACCCAGAGCTTCTTCCTTCCAGCGCTTGCCCTCAGCTGCATGGGTGGCAGGGCATGCGGGAGCCCCTGGATTCCTGGGAGTCCTCTGCGTTTTTGCCCCATCCTCCCTTGGTGATTGATAAAGTGTGTTTTTCTCTCGCTGAGAATCCCGGCCTCGCGGTAGATGCTGAGGACCGCCGGCCCATTCTCCCTCCAGCAGACTCGTCCCTACCACGGAGCTTCCCGAGCTGCTCTGCCTAGTGCTGACCTCTGCTCGCGCCTGTGACCAGGGGACCCATCTTCACGTTCAACAGCGTCTGCCATCTTGGGCTGTGTTCAGTCACAGGCGGGCACTTTGAGGTCTCAGCTTCCTCTGGAGGCAGGACTTGGCCGTTGGTCCGCTTCCCGAGTGCTCCCTGGGCACGGTGCATGCTAGTGAGACTTCTGCTTCCAGATCCCCCCTCCCCCTTGGTGTCTATCAGTCAGTATCTTTCACACTCGAGGCATTTGGATACATCTCACCTCCGTGATTTCTGCCACAGTATGTTTGCAACTGATACTGTTACTTCTAATTTTCTTTCAAATCCGCTCACTGTTTAACATCGATAGATATTTGACGTGGGAAGTTTATACCATCATCGTAAATAGAAAAGCAGTGTCAATTGCCATTAAATGATAATAATAATACAACAAAGGCACAATCAGTTAACGTCAGCTAGCTCTTTCTGCCCACGAGAAACTTGAGCCGGGGACCTGCTTTCTCTCTGTGAAGAGGGAGAGACAGCAAGTTTTAGAGATGTGTTAAAGTCATTTCCGCGTTAAACTGTGACTTTTTCCTTGATACAATCAAAAAATGTGAAAGAGAATCGAGAACAAAATAATGTCTTGATTTCATGTTATTTAAGGCTATGTGTGGGGACCACCTAAACCGTATTAGGTATCGCGATTTTTGTCAACAATGCTGTGTTCTGTACTTCAAAATTGCTAAGAGACTGGATCCCAAGTGTTCTTACCACAATAGAGAGCTGACGGTTATGTGACCTGCTAGAGATGTTAGCTAAAGCCACAGTGGTAATCACACTGTAGTATAGAAATGTATCAAATCCACATGTTGTATACCTTTCACGTACACAGTATCATACGTAAGTTACATCTAGGAAGACCCCTAATACTGAGGTAGGGAAGGCACTGAGTGTTTTGCAGAGATTGACTCACTTTTCTTTGTAACAGTCTGTGATGTTGTATTATAATTATCCCCATTTTACAGATTAGTTAATTGAGGCATCAGGAGGCTAACTCGTTTCTTCATAGAGCTTGTAGGTAGTGGGGGCAGGATTTGAACCCAGCTGTCTGATTCTAGAAGTCTTGATCTCAAATGCTGGTCTCTACAGCCTTCGAAGCGGTCACTTGTCCCAGCGTTTTGGCAGACTTTGTCCACGTGTAAGCAGGGTGGGTCTGGTGTAGGCAGGGTTGCTTCCTCCCGGGGCTGGGGACTGTGGCCATCATGCCCGCAGTGCTCTTGTGTCTTCAGGTCTGTTCTCTTCGTCGAGCGCCTCCTGTGGGTGCGGTGCTGTGGTGGGCACTGGGGTTGTGGGTGCCGGTGCACCCCAGACCTCGCTCCCAGGGAACTCACGGTCATCCGGTGGGGGACAGAGACCTGTAAATGGCACTGAAATAGCCACGTGATGGGGTTCTGTTACAGAGGGGGGCCCTGGGATGCGATGGGCTATAGGTACCTCGCTCGGTTTGAGAGGTGGAGAGGTAGGTGGGGCTTGGCAAATGCCTTCTGAAATGAAGAAGGACACAGAGGTCATGCAGAACACAGGGAGCACTGGAGAAAAGGCCCAAGGCTGGCCAGCTGGGGATGGGGAGGGCAGCATGCTTCTTGACTCCCTTGAAGAGCGTAAGCAAGTCTCTGGAAGCCCTGTGGGGAATATGACAGCCCTGTAGGGAAGAAGTTGGGCCGGCTCTTCTTTGTCATTGCCTTTCCAAAGGGCACAGATCTGGAATTTTGTGCGTGGTGACCAGGGAAGACCTCCGGCTCAACAGAGAAAAGCGGAGGCTTTGGTCCCGGGCTGTTCCCCAAAGATCGCCGCAGTCTGATACTTGTAGTCTCCGTACCGCTGTTTCAGCCCGTGACTCGGAGGTGTGCAGATTTGGCCATTCCGGGGAGTAATTTTAGGGGTAAGTCTGTTCATTTGAAACGCCACGCTGGCAATCGGGTCAGGTTTTTATGGGAGGATTTTGTGTTCTGCATATAAGGAAGCACTGCTCGTTAGCTACTACGAATGTGCCCAAAACATCTCTCTCCAGAATAGACTCGTGCTTTGCAGATGAAATGAAACATACTGGGGCCACACTCAGAATAGAACGTCCTTGGCTTGGCGATGCGATCCCCGGTGAGCCGCTGACAAGAGCCCTGCAGTGGGAACCGCCACGCTCCATACTTGGAGCTCCCCGCCGAAGGCGGGAGGCTCGGGAACCCGGAGCCGAAGGGCTGTGACGAATGGCAGGCTGTGAACATTTTTGGGGAGATGCAGATGCTCCCTGGACTATTTCAAGGATGCACATACTCTCGGGCAGCATTTGATAAGTGGCGGTGGAGGGCTAGTTCTGGCACAAGCGGTGAGGAAAAATAGTCACAATTCAGACCTTCTCACCAGCGTAGCTTAGGTTGTGTCTGCACAGAAAATGGAGATTGTTTGGGCATCTGCTCCGGAAACACAGGCAGGTGGGAAACCGGATCACCTCTGATGTACTGAAGGACACTGGCTGTGTTGCCTAACCTTTCAAGATAACAGTGTCCTATTTTATTTTATTTTATTTTATTTTATTTTATTTATTTTTAATTAAAAAAATTTTTTTAATGTTTTATTTATTTTTGACAGACAGAGAGAGACAGAGCATGAGCGGGGGAGGGGCAGAGAGAGAGGGAGACACAGAATCTGAAATAGGCTCCAGGCTCCGAGCTGCCAGCACAGAGCCCGACTTGGGGCTCGAACTCATGAACCACGAGATCATGACCTGAGCCGAAGTCGGATGCTTAACCGACTGAGCCACCCAGGCGCCCCTATTTATTTATTTTTAAATGAGGAGGTTCGGCCATATTTGGGAAGCTTTCAGGTCACTTTCAGATTTTAAGTCCAGTGATTATCTGGGGACAGTGGGTAGGAACTTGCTGGGGTGGTTTTTGCTCAGTGTGTTGGGCAGGCCCTTCAGCTGCAAGTTCTAGAAATACTCTGGGAATTTATCCACAGGACATTGAGTGCACTCACTGGGTCAAAAGGAAAGCTTGAGTGCCTGAGTCATGCAAAGGGGGGGAACTGGGGCAATGCTGGGGACCTGGGCAGCCGAACCGAAATGCTGTTTCCTGGGACTTAACTGCTAAGTCCATTAAGCCTAACCTTTTCGGGTCTTGTATTATTCGACTCTAGCCTCAGAATTCCTGCGTGGGAGAGGGTCTCATTGACCTGTCTTGGGTCCAGTACCCACTCCTTGGGCAAGGGAACACAGAGTTCCTGGAATCATAGGCCCGTCAAGACTGTAAGCAGTGGGGGGACGTGGGGGGAGGTGAGAGGGGAAGAATGCAGTGTCCATAAACAAAGTGCTTTGTTACCGGAAAAAGCAGGCATAGATACTGGATGGGCTACGATAACAGACTTCTGTTACTCTGGCGTAATCAATGAAAAGGAGATAATTTGGACGGTCACAGCGTCTAATTTTAAGGTCATAATGAGCAAGGCAGCTGCTGTCTCAGCCTGACCCTATCAAACATTTGCTT